GTCTCCTGCCTCCACCTCCCAAGTAGCTGGGACCACAGGCGCCCGCCACAACGCCCGGCTATTTTTTGGTTGCAGCCGTCATTGTTGTTTGGCCGGTCCGGGCTGGGGATTCGAACCCGCCACCTTAGGTGTACGTGGCTGGCGCCCTAGCCGGTTGAGCCATAGGCGCCGAGCCGATATTGAATAGTTTTAATGAATTCTGACTGCTGGATGCTTACTAAACGAGTTCTTTTTTTTTTTTTTGTAGAGACAGAGTCTCACTTTGTTGCCCTCAGTAGAGTGCTGTGGTGTCACAACTCACAGCAACCTCCAACTCCTGGGCTTAGGCAATTATCTTGCCTTAAGTTTCCTGAATAGCTGGGACTACAGGCGGCCACCACAACGTCCGGCTGTTTTTTTGTTGCAGTTTGGCTGGGCCGGGTTTGAACCCGCCACCCTCAGTATATGGGGCCAGTGCCCTACTCACTAAGCCACAGGCGCCGCCCAAACTAAACGAGTTCTTACACATTTTGATCACAATGCCTGATTTTGATGACTTCAAAATAATCAGGAATTCCTGTGTTTTTACAGGTGACAGTGACATTTAAAGATGTGGCTGTGGACCTCACCAAGGAGGAGTGGCAGCAAATGAAACCTGCTGAGAGGATCTTGTACCGGGATGTGATGTTGGAGAACTATAGCAACCTAGTCACAGTGGGTAAGAGTAGCTTTGTAATTTAATAGAGAATTAGTTTCCATTTCTGAAATGTGTGAAGATTTTAACTTGTCAGATGAGTCTGGCCTTTACTTTCTTCTCAAGATTATATGTACAGTCTTCAGAGTGAAGGCTAATTAGCCTGTGTTGTGGAAGTTCATTCATCTTCCTCTTTCATAATCCCTCAAGGTTGGACTCGGTTCAAGATCTGTATGGTTGTCTCCAGCATTAACATCTATGCCCTTTGCTATTCCATAGGCTGTCAAGTCACCAAACCAGCTGTGATATTTAAGTTGGAGCAAGAAGAAGAGCCATGGGTGATGGAGGAAGAAATGTTTGGAAGGCACTGTCCAGGTAAAACAGTGAAAAGCAGCTCTGAATGAGAAAATCACATGACAGTTGTTCAGTGAAGGGTTAATACCATTTCGTATTTTCCAAGGTTTTCTTTAAGGCCCTAGTCTTCTAGAGTGACACACGGGATGGAATGCCTTGGATTATTGGAACATTTCTAGATACTATTCTTCTTATATATACCATGTTTCTCAGATATTTTCCTATTTTGGAGGGCCAGTAGCTGTTTTCGATTTCAGGATGCCAACCTTCACTAATCCATTTACAGCTTTACATTCAGGATTTATTGTCCCTCTCAGTGATTCTTAGGCTCTACTTTATAGAAACCCCCCCCCCCTTTTTTTATAATCATGGTTTTATTTCCTTATGCATTCAGGATTTAATGATGGTGTAATATTTAAAAATGTTTGTTTCATACTTACGTTCTTTATAATTTCTTTCCTTCTTTGTATTTTGAAAACATCAAATTGTGGTTGGTAGTCTTGTTTTCCATTGTATTTCACAACTATCACAATCCCTTGGCTTAGAAATCCTATGAAGTCTCCTTCTTGCTTATTCCTACCTTCCATTCCTTTAATTATTTGAAAATAGTGTATTTGCATAGTTGGTTAAAAAATATAAATACTCCAAAAGATACACTGAAAAGTAAGTCTCCCTCTTATCCTCGATTCTCAGCCCCTTCCTTTCTTTCTTTAGTTCCATACACTTCTATTTCAGAGTTATCCCAGCTGTTTTTAATTGATCATTTTACAATATGAATTTTAGACTTAACTATCTATTTCTAGACAAAATCTGTTACAATTTCTGTTGGGATTGTGCTAGATAATGTACTTTAACTCTCAGAGATTAGACATCCTTATATTGCCAGAGTTTTCTATCCAAGAACATACTCTGTCTTTGTTCAGACCTCTGTAGTCTACTTTGTTGTCCTTCAGAAATGGAGTTTTCTAAATTTTCCTTTTGTAGCTTTAATATATTTCTTGTTTATTTCTTATTTCTAATACACCTAAGTATTAGATAAGAGAACAAAAATCACTACTTTAAGAATTGGGAAGAAAGCTATCAAACTATCCTTATTTACTGATTATAAGATTGTATCCCTGAAAAACACAGGGGGGTCAACTGAAAAGGTACAACAAGTAGAAGGAGAATTCAGTGAAGTGATAGGATATCAAATTAACAAATAAAAATCAATAGCTCTCATATATACTTCAACAACCAAATAGAAGATGTTAAAGGAAGGAACTACATTTGTGGTAGTAAGGGTGAAGATAAAATATTCTGGCATAAAACAAAATCCCATCCTTGTTAGCTTATAATTTAGTGGAAACTAGAATCCCTAAGGTTTTTCATATAAGAAAATATCTTTTTTAATACATTTGGTTGATAATTGGCTATATATAAAATTCTTAAGCCATGCTTGCTTTCTGAAATGTTTTGGTGGGCAGTTCCTTGAAGGCTTTTAGACAATTCTCTGTTGCTTCCTAAGTTTGAATGTTGCTTACAGAAGACTGAAACCTGATTATTTCCCTTCATAATGACTTATTTAGCTGGATGCCTGAATGCCTTTATTCTGTAAAGCTTTACAGCTTTATTAGGCCATGTCTTGGTATTGATCAGTTAGTATCAATTGTGGATTCACGTTTTTAGTTTCATGTAGCATTGTTTGGATTTGATGCTGGTTTCTTTTTACAAGTTATCATTGTTGATCACTGAATGAGTGTATTTCCTGCTGGACCCACTATTTACAGAAAGACTGTGTTGAAGTTCATTGAGAAAAATGCTCTGAGCTAGGAGGAGGCCTTTGTACTTCACACTGGCCTCTTTTATCATACATGTACAAGGTACTGTGGTGAGAGTTGTTTTCTCCTTTTCTCCCAAGTCAGAGAAGAGATTATCATTTGTGTACTTCCTATAGAACCCAGTGTCTCTTCTACCTTCCTAAACCAACAGTTTATACAAGTACACTGGCTATTCATATCTCCTTGTCCGGCCATGCCTTTTCTATCATTTGTCAGGGCTGGATGAAGTCCATTATGTTTCTACCACCAGTCTCAACACATCTGGATCCCACTGTTAAAAATGATTCGTTTATTCTGCCCACAAAGTTGTGTACCTTTGTTTTAGAGAACTCTATTTCTTGTGCTTTTTAAGATAATAACACTGTCTCTGGATTTCTTCCCTGGCCTGATTCAAGCTGTCTTATGTTCTTTCCTCATATTTTGGAGTTGGAGTTTAGCTGCATTTTAGTTTCATTCAAGATATATTTTCTTCAGAAAGTTTCTTCCTCTTTATTTTTGCAAAGTGGCAGAGAGAAAGAGATGTTTAATTTTATCATATTAAAACAGAAAGGACTGTGTTCAATTATATATTTGATCCTATGAATTACCCTTCTTGCTCTTCTCTAAAAGATTCTGATTTTTCCTTGAATCCTATTTATTGTGTATATCTTCTTCCTTTATAAAATACCTTTCACATGATTCCTTTTCTCAGCTCTCTTTAGAGATTACCCCAAACAATTTTTTTTTTTTTGAGACAGAGACTCAAGCTGTCCCCCTGGGTAGAGTGCTATGACATCACAGCTCACAGCAACCTCCAACTCCTGGGCTCAAGCGAGTCTCCTGCCTCAGCCTCCCAAGTAGCTGGGACCACAGGGGCCCGCCACAATGCCTGGCTATTTTTTGGTTGCAGCCGTCATTGTTGTTTGGCGGGCCCGGGCTGGATTTGAACCCGCCACTTTAGGTGTATGTGGCTGGTGCCTTAGCCACTTGAGCCACAGGCGCCAAGCCACCCCAAACAATTTTAACTTGTTACATATAGACTCCCTTTTCCTCCAAGTACTTTCCTGATATATCTGTTGTGTTCATGCCATTAAATGGGTATTTAACTCCAAAAATGACAGTATTAGAATATGTATCTTTACTGCCTCCAGGAACTGTGAAATTCTTTAGATCTCTGCCTTTGATGTGAATGCTCTTACCTGTCTAAGTTCTAGTAGTTATTTAACTTTGAGCTATATTTCCTATAAATGGACTTCAAAATTTATTTCGAGCTTATATTGATCTTAACCATCTCTCAGTTGACAGTTCTATTTCTTTTCTATCAGAATGATGGGACTCTGGAAACATATACCATCTTAGATATGTTTTCACATCTTTTTTTTTTTTTGAGACAGAGCCTCAAGCTGTCACCCTGGGTAGAGTGCAGTGGCATCACAGCTCATAGCAACCTCCAACTCCTGGGCTCAAGCGAGTCTCCTGCCTCCGCCTCCCAAGTAGCTGGGACTACAGGTGCCCACCATAGTGCCTGGCCATTTTTTGGTTGCAGCCGTCATTGTTGTTTGGCAGGCCTGGGCTAGATTCGAACCTGCCAGCTCAGGTGTATGTGGCTGGTACCTTAGCCACTTGAACCACAGGCACCGAGCCTGTTTTCACATCTTGATGTTTGAGACTACATTATTAAGAGAAAGGGTGATGCCCTTGCCTGAGGTGTCAGACACCAGACACCAAAGTCGATCTCTACATTGATTGCTACCCTTTCAGTTTGTCAGCTTGTAGAAAACACAGAAATCTATTGCATTGATAGTAAATCCCTCTGACATCTACTTTAGAACTCTAAAGTTGACCACACCCACCTACAGCGACATGAACCATCTGGTATCTGCCACCATGAGTGGAGTCACCACCTGCCTGTGCTTTCCTAGCTAGCTCTGTCTGGCCTATAGAAACTGGCTGTTAACATGGTCTCTGTCCCCTGCCTGCACTTCTTCATGCATAGCTTTGCCCCACTAACCACCCTGGGCAGCCAGTAGTACTGGGCCCTGACAAGAGTCTGAGCTTATGCAGCGGATGTTTAATGCCAAGACACAGGGCTACCTGTAGCCCTCTCCGTGGCTGCTACCTAATAGTGGCCACTGTAGTCAGGAGCCATGTGTCCATGAGGGAGGTGGACAAGCAAATGTTTTATGTCCAAAACAAGAATATTTCTTATTTTGGAGCTTTCTAATGACATCTTTTCTTACTATAAATGATTTATGAATTGATTAATGTGGAGCTATTTTTAGAAAGAGTTTTCTTATTGTTTTTGGTTGTTTTAAAAATTTACCTGCAGACCTTCAAAGTAAATGCAGAGGACATCAGGTTAGAGTTAGAAAGACAGGAAGGAGATAGTCAGATAACATAGTCTTGAAATGTTAAATTGCATATTAACTAAACTAACTAAAATGTTAGTAATTGAGTAAACCAGACAGAGAGTACCTTAAAAATTTTAAGAGACAGGTTTTAGAAGAAAAATAAGATTGAGAATGCTTTTTCTTTCTTTTTTTTTTTTTTTAGAGAGCCTGCTTGGTATTGAAGCTGCTTTCCTATAAGATCTTTAGATTCTTAAGACTTATAAAATAGGAGAAAATATAATAAAATGTTTGGAGAGTAAAATTAGCATGTCATATTTGTGGGGTAAAATTAGAAGCATAGCCTGCTTGGACGAGGGGGGATTGTAAGGGATTAGTGAAATTGAGGATGAGTTACCCAGTGCAGTGTCAAAAAGTTTTTAATTTTGCCAGTGCTTATGTCCTCTTCTTCCTTCTATAATATTTTTACACTTTGTTTTTAATTTAGTTTAATTTTTTCCCCCTTTTTAAAAACTGAAGCTATAGTTTTGCCCTCTGCATAATGTCAGCAAGATTACAGTGATCAGTTACAAGCAGGGGTTTATAAGATAAACTAAATATGAAGGTTAAAAAAATCTAGTTATTGGAATTTTAAGTTACCCACATTTGACAAAACTCCAAACATGGAAAATCAGTGTAGAGCTAATGATGTAGTAAAGAATATTATCATTTTGAGTAACAATATGAAAGAAAAAAGGTAAAACACAACAGAATATGGTAAGAGTTTCATTGTCTAGAATTGAACATAGGAAAAAATAAACTATTAGAACACTGCCATGAATCAAAAATGGCATGTTTCTTGATCTGTTTTATACTTCTCATTGGATAACTTTAATTTCCATATTTCTAATATGCCTTGTTCTTTAAACACATATAAAAATGATTAGCATTAGGTAGAAAGTTGGAGTATTCTCTTATTTATTGCCAATTTTAGGTTGGATTTAGTTCGGACCAAGTCTAACCTTCAGTGTTTATATAAAAATAAAAAAATAAGAACTTTATGGCAGTATTATGAAAATTTATGGCAGTATAAAGAATGGACAAAAGATATACTTTTGTCAGTCAGAATCATATAACAAGCTAAGCAAGAGTAATGAGAAGTTGGTCTGTAATTTGTTTTTCTTAACCTAATCTAGCTGTTGTTATTTTCCTTTTATATTATTTCTTTCTTTTTTAAATATGCATTTAAAAATTTTTTCAAAGCCAATGTATATAGTACTTGTTTTAGAAAGCAGTGGAAATACAGGTTTGTAGCAGTGCCCTCTGACTTCACATTTTTCATTTTTTGTTTGTTATTGACCTCCATATTTCTAAATAAATACATTTATACTGTTCTTTAAATATTTTCATAGTTGGTGTGCCTGTGGCTCAAGTAGCTAAGGCGCCAGCCACATACGTCTAAGGTGGCAGGTTCGAATCCAGCCTGGGCCTGCCAAACAACAATGACAGCTGCAACCAAAAAATAACCAGGCGTTGTGGCGGGCACCTGTGGTCCCAGCTACTTGGGAGGCTGAGGCAGGAGACTCGCTTGAGCCCAGGAGTTAGAGGTTGCTGTGAGCTGTGATGTCACAGCACTCTACCCAGGGGGATAGCTTGAGGCTGTGTCTCAAAAAAAAATTTTTTTTTCATAGTCATTTTCAAAATTGCACAAATATAGAGAGAATATTATAAGTAATCCTGATATTCATCACTCAGCTTCAACAGTTATCAGCATTTTGTCAGATTTCTTATATATATATATATATATATATATATATTTTGAGACAGAGTTTCACTATGATGCCCTCGGTACAGGGGTGGTGTCACAGCTCACAGCAACCTCCAACTCTTGGGGTTAAGTGATTCTCTTGCCTCAGCCTCCCAAGTAGCTGGGACTACAGGTGCCAGCCACAATGCCCAGCTATTTTTTGGTTGCAGTTGTCATTGTTGTTTAGCAGGCTCAAGCTGGGTTAGAACCCACCAGCCTGGGTGTATGTCGCTGGCGCCCTAACCACTGACCTACAGGTGCCAAGCCTAGATTTCTTTTATCTTCCCCAGTTTTGTTGTTTTGGTTTTTTGCATGTGTATGTGTGTGTTTGTGGAGGTATATATAATATACAAATGTGATAAAGTTGGCCCTTGAACAATGTGGATTTAAGCTACATGTGTCTACTTAACTTGCTGATATTCTTCTGTCTCTGCAATCCCCAAGACAATGAAACAGACCCTTCCTCTTCCCTCACCTACTCAATGTGAAGATGCTGAGGATGAAGCTCTTTATGATGATCCACTTCCATTTAATGAATAGTAAATATATTTTCTTTTCCTTATCGTTCTCTTTTTCTCTTTTATTTTTTTCCTCTGGAGACAGAGTCTTGCTCTGTTGCCTGGGCTACAGGGTTGTGGTGTCATCATAGCTCACTGTAACTTCAAACTCCTGGGCTCAAATGATCCTCTTGCCTTGGCCTCCCAAGTGTCTGGGACTACAGGTGCACATCATCATGCTTGGCTAATTTTTCTATTTTTCTTTTTTTCTTTTTTTTTTTTTGGTAGAAAGAGGTCTCACTGTGTTAAGTAGGCTGGTCTTGAATTCCTGGCTTCAAGTGATCCTTTGACCTTAACATCTCGAAATGCAAAGTGCTGGGATTATAGGTGTGAGCCACTACACCTGGCTCATTTTCTTTTCTTTCTTTCTTTCTTTCTTTTTTTTTTTTTTGTTGTGACAGAGTCTCACTTTGTCACCCTTGTCAACTCTTAGGTCCAAATGATCCTCCTGCCTCAGCCTCCCAAGTAGCTGCGATTATAGATACCTGCCACAATGTCCAGCAGTTTTTAGAGATGGGGTCTCACTCTTGCTCAGGCTGGGCATTTTGTTAATAACATATTTTTCTCTAGCTTAGTTTATTGTAAGAATACAGCATATAATATGACAGAAAATATGTGTTACTTGTATGTTATTGGTAAGGCTTCAGCAGTAGGCTATTAGTAGGATAGTCTAATATATGGATTTTCAACCTTGTGGAGGTTTTGTACTCTTAATTCCCCATGTTCAAGGGTCAAGTGTATATATGACATGTGTATGTCACATGTAAGTAAATGTTTATCTATATATGTGTGCATGTGTACTTTGTTTTAAATAGTGGAAGAATAACTCAAGAACTAATAAAATTGATTACAGTGATTCCTCCTTCACCCTACAGTTAACATAATTTTTACTTTTTTAGTTAGTATGAGACCTTTCCTTTGCATCTGCTTTACCTTTTCTAAGTTTAGAGCTTCTATAGTTCATTTTCTCTAGAAAGCAAGCCTTGCTATTCCTGCTTGCATTGTGGGGACATGGCCACTTCCTTTGTGAATCAGGGGATCATGGTATATTGGTCAAGGTTAAGTTACAGAGCTAAGAATATACTAGCTGCTAATTTAAGAAGGAAGGGATATACACGACGATATTAAATGGCTTAATGGATCTTTGGGAGCACTGAGGAGACAAACTCTAAGTGTCTAGGAATGAGTCTCAAAACTCTACACAAAAGTAAGCTTTAAGGTAGTTCATTCTCCCAAAATGATCAAGAAGTTACTTTGGGCTGAGCCAGAAAAATGCTTCTACAGCTGTGGCTTCAGAACCTTGCCACTTCTGTTATAATCTCATAAGCAAAGTGTTTACTTTTTTCCAATTATTTCTGAATTAAAATGCATAAACGAGTGCATGGCAAATCTAAATCATGTGAGAACCTTCATGCATTTAATGTCTAGAAAATGTAGTTTTAACTGCCTTAGCCTTTGCAAGATTGAAAAATAGTGAATGTTTGGAATAGATATTACTTAATCAGATCCATAACATTTGCCTTGGGGTCTAACTAACTTTAAATTAATGTACTTCTTTGTAGTCCCATTCTTACCTTACTGTTTTTGTTGTTTGTTTTTGAGACATGGTGTTACTTGCCCTGGCTGGTCTCAAACTCCTACCTTCAAGAAAACCACCTCAGCAGCTGGGATTTAAGGCTTGGGCTACTGTGCCCATATTTTTTAATCAATAAACTTTATTTTTTAGGTCAGTTTTAGGTTTATAGCATAATCAAACAAAGTACAGAGCTCCCTTATACTTCTGCTGCATCACTTGCACAGCCTCCCCATTATCAACATCTTGCACCACAGAAGTATATTTGTTACAATTGATGAACCTACATTAACACATTGTTATTGCCCAAAGTATACCTTAGGCTTCACTCTTGGTGTTGAGCAGTCTATGGATTATGAAATAGATCCACTATAGTATCATACAAAATAGTTTCATTTCCCTAAATCTCTATGTTCTTCCTATATATCCCTCCCTCTTCTGTAATCTCTGGCAACCATTAATATTTTACTCTCTCATGGTTTTTTCTTTTCTAGTATGTTTGGATCAATAGTGGGTAGCCTTTACTGATTAGCTTCTTTCACAGTTCCTCTGTGTCTTTCTATGACTTGATAGCTAATCTGCTTTTAGCATTGACTAGTATCCTATTGTCTAGATGTACCACAGTTTTATCTATGTATCTACTGAAGGACATGTTTTGGCAGTTATAAATAAAGGTTCTATAATTTCCACATGCCAGTTTTTATATCAATGTAAGTTTTGAACTCATTGGTGTGCATACCAAGGAGCACAATTGCTGAATGATACGGCATGAGTATGATGATGATGATGATGATGATGATGATGATACTCTGTATCATGAGTATTATTATCTGGCATGAGTATCAATATCATTATTATTTTGTAATAAACTTCCAAATTGTTTTCTAAAGTGGCTGTAACATTTTGTATTTCCACCAACAATGAGTTAGAGTCCCTATTGTTCCACATCCTCTTCAGCCTTTATTAGTTCAGTTTTTTGTTGATTCCTTCAGATTTTCTACATAGTGATCATATCATCAGTGAACAGAGTAGTGATGAGAGGAAATATCCTTGCCTTGTGCCTGTTTAGTCCTATCTTTTGAGTACTTGAAACCTCTAATTCTTGAGCTTTTCAAGTGATTTTTTGCCAGATCACTTTCATGCTTATTGGCATTTACATCTTTTTGATACTTTTGCTTTAACTTTTTAATGCTATTATCCTGTTAATATATCCCTATATGCCTTTCATGTTGGAGTATTTTCTTAAAATCTCTCAGTCACCCTGTTTACATTTCTATATCGTTTTTCTTATGAGTTTGACCCCTTTATCCTTTACTATTATTTTAGGAAAATTTTAGAAAGAAGTATATATATGCATTCAGTCCAATGTGTTTAATTTGATTCTATAGTCATTTAACTCCATGTCCATTTTTATGTTCACCGTTCATTTTAATTACTCATTCTTTTGCACTTCACAAGAACCTTTTTAAAATCAGTCAAGTGTACTTGGGCCTATAATGTTTTCTATAGAAGTTAACTTCTCAAACCACAGAAATATTTGCATTTAGATTTCTTTCATATTGGTTGACTAAGGCCAACATCAAAGATTAAACACCATACTAGCAAATTTCTGAAATGTTATTAATAGTATAGTGGTAGAAAAATTTACAAGTAATAATTTTTGGTCCTCCATTTTAGAAGTTTGGGAAGTTGATGAACAGATCAAGAAGCAACAGGAAACACTTGTGAGGACAATCACACCCATCTCCAAGAAAACTCTGATTAAGGAAAAAATCATTGAATGTAAACAAGTTGCAAAAATAGTTCCTCTGAGCTCAGACATTGTTACTACAAGACAGAGTTTCTATGAATCTGACTCACTTGATAAGGGTTTGGAACATAATTTAGGCTTAAATAGTTATGGGAAAGGCTGTATAAGAGAGAAAAATTATGAATGTAATGAGTATGAGAAACCATTTTACCATTGCTCGTCCTATGTCGTATCCCCATTAAAGTGTAATCGGTGTGGACAAGACTTCAGTCATAAATTTGACCTCGTAAGACACGAGAGAATTCATGCTGGAGAGAAGCCTTATGAATGTAAGGAATGTGGAAAAGCCTTCAGCAGGAAGGAAAATCTTATTACACATCAGAAAATTCATACTGGGGAAAAGCCATATAAGTGTAATGAATGTGGAAAAGCTTTCATTCAGATGTCAAACCTTATTAGACACCAGAGAATTCATACTGGTGAGAAACCTTATGCATGTAAGGATTGTTGGAAAGCCTTCAGTCAGAAATCCAATCTCATTGAACATGAGAGAATTCACACTGGAGAAAAACCGTATGACTGCAAGGAATGTGGGAAATCCTTCAGCCAGAAGCAAAATCTTATTGAACATGAGAAAATTCACACTGGGGAGAAACCTTATGCATGTAATGAGTGTGGTAGAGCTTTTTCTCGAATGTCATCTGTTACTCTACATATGAGAAGTCACACAGGGGAGAAACCATACAAATGTAATAAATGTGGAAAAGCTTTCTCTCAATGCTCAGTATTTATTATACATATGAGAAGTCACACTGGTGAGAAACCCTATGTATGTAGTGAATGTGGGAAAGCCTTCTCTCAAAGTTCATCCCTTACTGTACATATGAGAAATCATACAGCTGAGAAACCATATGAATGTAATGAATGTGGGAAAGCCTTCAGCCGGAAAGAAAATCTTATTACACATCAGAAAATTCATACTGGAGAGAAACCTTATGAATGCAATGAATGTGGGAAAGCCTTTATACAGATGTCAAACCTCATTCGACACCAGAGAATTCATACTGGTGAGAAACCCTATGTATGCACAGTGTGTGGGAAAGCCTTTAGTCAGAAATCAAATCTCACTGAACATCAAAAAATTCATACTGGAGAGAAACCCTATCATTGTAATCAATGTGGAAAAGCTTTTAGTCAGAGACAAAATCTTCTTGAGCATGAAAAAATTCACACTGGAGAGAAACCATTTAAATGTAATGAATGTGGTAAAGCCTTCTCTCGAATATCATCCCTTACCCTTCATGTGAGAAGTCATACAGGGGAGAAACCTTATGAATGTAATAAATGTGGAAAAGCCTTTTCTCAATGCTCATTACTTATTATACATATGAGAAGTCATACTGGTGAGAAACCGTTTGAATGTAATGAATGTGGGAAAGCATTCTCTCAAAGAGCATCGCTTTCTATACATAAGAGAGGTCATACAGGTGAGAAACGCCAAGTGTACTAAATGAAGGAAGACGGTCTGTTAAATTCAACCTATGTTTTGCTTGAAATATCTTGGTGTAAGCTCAAAAAAAAAAAGAATGAGACCTTTATGGAAAAATTGTAATACTTCATTGAAGGTTTTAAGACTTGAATAAATGAAGAAAAATACCATATACATAGTTATATAAGCTCAGTATCATAAAAGTCTAAATTCTAAAAATCTATAGACTGAATGGAGTTTAAAACAAAATCTAACAAAAAATTTCTAGGATCTTTACAAATTTATTCTAAAACTTTGGTGAAATAGAAGTCTATAGATTGCTGAGACAATTTTGAAAAAGAGCAGAGGAGATACCTTCACCATATATTACACATCTATAGTTACAGTTTTTTAAAAAGTGTGTGGTATAAGCGCATCAGGAGCTACATAGCAGATTTTAAAACATAGACTTCCTAGAAACAGACCCATGAATATGTGAACTTGATTTGATGTATGTTAGACTTGAAATCACCTGACATTAGTATGGAAATGACAGCCTAATCAATAAAAATTGTTGGAGTATTTGATTTTACATATTAAGCAAAATAACAAAATTACATACAACCTTACAACATGCAATGAAATAGTATTCTAATGGATTTGAATACTGCAATGTTAAAAGCCAAATTCAGAAACCATTGAGAAAAAATTGAGGATATTGTCTGTGGAGGCTAGGAACCATTTTATTTAAAAGAGAAAAAGACCTTACAAGTCCACTTCTGTATATGCATCCTATATAAACTCAGAAATAATGCAGAATAAATACATGTATTTAGCCAGATGCAGTTGGATGTGCCTATAGATATTATCCCAGCTACTTGGGAGGCTGAGACAGGAGTCTCACTTGAGCCTGGGATTCCAAGACTAGCATGGACAACATAGTGAGACCCTGTCTCAAAAAAAAAAAAAATATATATATATATATATAATATATACATATAAATTGAAAAGACCTATTCATCAATGTGGTAATCAATGAAATGTACTATATTCAAATAATAGAATAGTATATAGCAGTTAAAAGCAATGAACTAGATCCATATTATGTAATATGTCATTACATAATAGTCATTGAAGACATGTTGAGTGCAAAACATCAAGATACAAATGAAATATATAATGACATTCTTATAATTGGGAATGAGATCATTTATGAAGAACTATTTTTTTTATATGTAAACTATTTAAATGGACTAAAGGATACATACCAAATTATTGATAGTCTTATTTCTGGCAGAAGGTTGAATTTGGGAGTGTTGATTGAAGGGAACCTTTAGCTTTACTTGTAATTTTTATGCCTTAAAAAAGACTGGTAGTGATATAGTGTATAAAATAAATTATAAAAGATAGTGGTACATAATGATAATATGAATGTTTTGCAATAATAGTGTTTTTCTAGCTATTTCTCAGAATTAGTAGCCTGGGGAAGCTTGTCCCCAAAGAAAAAAATGTTATAATGGATTCATATCAAGGAGACTTCCGACTTGGGTTTTCCCCTTTGCCAGAAGCTGTGGTGGTTTTTTACTCCTTCTGTATTCTTTTCTGTCTAATAAAATCCTATCTTACCACTTAAAAAAAAAATAGTGGGTTCATATCTCCTATCAGATGCTCCAATATTACATTAAAATATCTCCAGAAAGTTAGTAATTAGAATAATTCTGTTTATTGTATAACTTGAAATTACCATGTATTATCAATTCTGTGGTGCATTTTTTTTACATTTTAACATTTCTAAAATTGGATTCATCTGTCCACTAATATCATAGATTCAAGTAAATATTTAATTATTAAACATTTGAAAATCAGAAATAATTGTAATAAATGAAATTATTTTTATTTACTAGTTTAGTGCATAATGGTCTAATCATGGTCCCTGTTCACATAGTGTTTCTAGCATTATTTGGCAACAAATTGTTAGGTTCGTAGCTAAGTAATTAGCAGTTTATTTAGGATGTTTAGGGAGAGAATAAGATTTACTGAGAAATTGACTTTGATATATTAGTTTTGTTGCCTTGTGATTTTCCATAAACCAGCATAGGCACTAATATCATTGTTAATTCTTTCTTTCTGTCTATCTATCTATCTATACTTTTTTTTTTAAGACAAAGTTTCACCCTGTCACCCCTGGTAGAGTGCTGTGGCATCACAGCTCACAGCAACTTTGAACTCTTGGCCTCAAGTGGTCCTCTTGCTTCAGTTTTTTATTTTTAAAGATGAGGTCTTGCTCTTGCTTAGGCTGGTCTTGAACTCATGAGCTTAAGCAGTCCATGTGCCTCGGCCTCCTAGAGTGGTAGAATTATAGGCATGAGCCGACATGTCCAGACTAATTCTTTACAATATTTTTTAATGAGAATTTTTTAATTTTATAATATTGCCACAAGCAATTGTATAAAACTGTCTCAGTTTTAACTTACAGACCATTTTATTTTTTTTACCATCTTTAACTTACACATCATATCTAGATTTGATTGGAAGTCATAGTAGTCTTTTACCCTAAGCAGCAATAACAGAGTTCCTCTAAAAGAGTCTCATTCTCTGTAACAAAACATGTATCAGCCCTTACTTTGGTAATTTTTTTTTATTATGCCATTTCTACAATATTGTTTCATATGTAGACAACTGTTAACAAAGATGAGAATTCAGAGTGTTGATCAAAAGGGATCTTTAACTTTTATACTTTGAACAGTAACTGCACTTTTTAAAACTTGATTTATATCAATTTTGAATGTCATTAGGTATTTTTGAAGATTGACAGTGATTTGTCTAACTAGCAGGAATAGATTTTAATGAAAACAAACATTACAATTACCAAAACTTAAATATCTAAATGAATATTGTCATTTCATAGTCTCTTCTTTTTTTTTGAGACAGAGCCTTAAACTATCCCCCTGAGTAGAGTGCTGTGGCATCACAGCTCACAGCAACCTCTAACTCCTGGGCTCAAGTGAGTCTCCTGCCTCTGCCTCCTAAGTAGCTGGGACCACAGG